GAAAAAGCTGCCGACCACTGATGGTTGGTGCGACCGGGGATCGAACCCGCGGCATGGTTTTCAGTACTGCTCCGCAGTGCAGTGCCTTAACCGAGTCAGCAAACCCGGCAGCTATCTTGACCTTGATCTTTGACATAGAAACTTAAAAAAGTATAGGTCTGTGGCGAGTAACCTATGCAAACATGACTCCAAGTTTTGTTGCAGATTGGTGCAGGATAAATGGTAAAAGGGTGCGTAACTAACAAACTGGCAGACAAGCAGATGCCTAACGCAACCAACTGATATACACTTGCAATCAAAATTATTCAACCCCCATCGCAAATTAGGTTTACTGGGTTTACTTGGGTTTACTTTACAAACTTTCAGCTGTTTGTGATGAACAGATTAAACAAGAACATTTTAAATAGCTCAACACGACTAATATTACAAGTGGTTTCTCCAAATTAGACTCAAAATGACACTTTTAATGACTACTGCAGTCTCAAAATTATTCAACCCCCTGAATAGAATCTGTCATAAGAGCATATTTGCGAGTCAGGTATTCTCTCAAGCACACCTAATGCAGCTAATCAAGAGCTTAATTAGTAGCATCAGGTTTGCTTGAGATAGAATACATCAAATACTTGCACTCGCTAGGGGTTTGTTGACAGTGACATTTGAGTGCATATCAGAAATATGGCTGTCAAAAGAATTGTTCAAAAAGCTAATAGAGGAGATCATTGCCTGGCACAAACAAGGAGAAGGTTATAAAAAGGTAGCACAGGCACTGAATGTTTGTAGAGATAAAGTTGGAAGCATAGTTCGCAAGTTCAGAGTTAAAGGAAGAGTGGCTACAGTACCAGGATGTGGCAGAAAGAGGAAGCTATCAATGGCTGTCACCAGATTCTTGACAAGACAGGTGGTCAAAAACCCTCGAGTGACTGCAGGAGACCCGCAGCAAGACTTGGAGGCAGAAGGCACTGAGGTTTCAGTTTGCATAGTAGGGCGCATACTAAACGTTGAAGGTCTCCAAGACATACACCATAACTGATCCAAAAGTACAAGCTCCAATATGCTCAAAACCATATAAATTAGCCACAGACATATTAGGATACTGTTCTGTGGAGTGATGAAACAAAACAGGAATATTTCGGGCTTATGAATCAGTGGTATGTCTGCAGGAAGAATAAAGAAGCATACGCTGAAAAGTACACCCTGCCTACAGAGAAGAATTGTGGGGGCTTTTTGATGCTCCACAGCTGCCTTGCTTCCTCTGGTACTGGAAACCAGCAAAGTGTGGAGGGCGAGATGGATTCAGTCACGTACCAGGATATCCAAGGAGAAAATGTCATGCCGTCTGTAGGGAAGCTGACGCTTGGGCATCATTGGACCTTCCAACAGGACAATGATCCTAAGCATACCTCAACATCCACCAAGGCTTGGTTTCAGAAGAAGTCTGGGAAGATTCTAGAGTGCCCATCACAGTCGCCTCACTTGAACCCCATAAAAAATCTCTGGTAGGATTTGAAGAAGGCAGTTGCAGCATGCAAACCCTAGAATATTAGTGAACTGGAGGCCATTGTCCATGAGGACTGGGCTAAGATTCCTTGGGAATGCTGCCAGAAGCTGTTGTCTGCCTATGCATCACATCTCCAGCTGGTCATAGCGGCGAAAGGGTACTCTATTAAGTATTAAAGATGCTTGTCATGAAGGGGTTGAATAATTTTGAGCCTGCAGTAGTCATTAAAAGTGGCATTTTGTGTTGAATTTGGAGAAGACATTTGTAATATTTGTTGTGTTGAGCTATTTAAATTGTTCTCATTTGATTTGTTCATTGCAAACAGCTGAAAGTTTGTAAATTTTGCCAGTAAACCTAATTTGCAGCAGGGGTTGAATAATTTTGATTGCAACTGTACTTGCCAAAATAGATGATTTCGGCAAGTCAAAACAGGGGTGAAAACATGACCTCCTCGGCAGAGGTAAACACAGTAAAAAACACACATAAGGCATAACAAGACCTTCTCAGACCCTGACTTATAAAAGCTGCTTTGATATAGCAGGGGGCTAGTGAGCAATGACACTCCACAACCTGCTTGATGCGGTTGGGGCGGCGAAACAGGCCAGATCCAGTGCATCTCCAAATTGGCTGGCACCACCTGACGAATGCTTCAATAGATGGTAGCGCCATCTCTTTCCCTTGGGCAGCAAAAAGCAGAGGGTGATGCTCAAGGCAGCAATGGAATGGCAATAACCTTGTGGAGCCGGAAGGCAGGGAGTTGATGGCATACTCGACCCAGGCAAGTTGGTGTCTCCAGAAGTTCAGTTCGGAGGACGTGCAGCAGCTGTTTGTTGATTGCATTGGTTATCAGTTTGCCCATTGGATTTTAGAAGGAAACCTGAGGGGAGATTGACAGAGGCATCCAGCAGTTTACAGAATGCTTTGCGGTAAACCAGGACCTGACCCCATATCAGCAGGTAAACCACGCAGCTTAAATTCATGCTGAATGAGAAATTCTGTCATCACCTTGGCAGATGGAAGCTTGATCAAAGCCAGGAGTTGGACGGCCTCCACAACAATGAGAATGGTAGTGTTCCCTTCCGATGTGGGCGGGCTGGCAACAAAGTCCGGGGCAATGTGTGACTAAGGTCTATGGCAGAGGATGCAACAGACAAATGTGTGGAGCAGTAGGAGACTTAATCTGGGCACTGATTGAGCTGGCCAACACAAAGCTGTGAATGTCCTCCTCCATGGAAGGCGGCCAGAAATGCTGAACCACAGTGCACCGAGCTCCTGAATGACAAGCCAGATGAGAGGAGTGCCTCCACGCACTGGGAATAGGACCGACCAGCTGTGCAGATTGGACAACCACCTCTATGTCGAACAGCGCTGCCCCAGCCCAGCACCATCAAGGGAGGATGGTATCTGCCTCCTCTGTGTCGACCAGACCTGTATAGGTTTTGGACAGTGCACCTGGTTTGCCATTCTTTGAGCCAAGCCAGTGGTAAAGGATAAAATTGAAGCGTGAGAAGGAAATTGACCGTTGAGGTTGGCGGGGGTTAAGGTGCTTGCTCGTCGGCAGGTATTCTAAATTTTTATGGTTTTTTTCACAATAGAAACAAAACCTTAGGGCCCTCTAATCAGTGTCTCCACTTCTCCAGTGCCAGCTTGTCAACCAAGATCTCGCAGTTTCCTGTGCTTGAATTCGTTCCGTCGGGGTGAAACAGTGGGAGTCAAAGGCACATGAATGGAGTTCTTTTTTGGTGGGGGAGATCTGGGACAGGCCAGCCCCTCCTCTGCAGTCAGAAGCATCCACCTCCACAATGAACTACTTGCAAACCAAAATGGGTGCTGAGGTGAAGCAATTCTTGAGCGTCTTGAAGGCTAACTCAGCTGCTGGTGTCCAGGAAAATTTTATGGCCAATGTGGTTAAAGCACTGATGGGAGCCTCCGCTAAGCTAAAGTTCCTAATAAAGTGGCAATAAAAATTGGTGAACCCGAGGACACATTGCAGCTCCCATCAGGAGTTAGCTGTGGGCCACTCTACGACTGCCTTACCTTTGCACCGATGCATTTGGATCTGTCCAGAGGAGATGACAAAGTCCAAGAAGGGGACTGACCTCCTGTGGAATGCTCATTTCTTGGCCTTGATAAACAGTCAATTCTCCAGCAGCCTTTGAACAACTCAGCGGATATGGGGAGCGTACTCAGCCTCAGACCGGTCCAAGGTCAGAATTTCATCGGAGTAATGATGAACAAATTGCCTCAGAATTCCATGGAGGACATCATTGATGCGGGCATGGAAGATTGCTGGGGCCTTAATTAGTCCAAATGGTATGATCAGGTCCTTGTACTGCACTGTGGGACAGTTAAATGCAATCTTCCACGTATCCCCCCTTGGACACGGACCAGGGGGTAGGCATTATATAGATCCAGTCCGGTGAAGAGCTCAGTACCTTTGAGGGATTTGAGGACTGTAGACATCAGGGGTAACAGGTAACAATTGAAGACCTGGGTGCAAGAAGTACTTTAGTCACAAAATAACACTTTTGAGATATTAAGGGTCAAAGTTTTGAAAACATGCTGCAGATACTTTTTTGAAAAGATAACATTCAGTGGCGCCTGCTGCTAGTCCCAGGGGTTATACAAAGTAGACAGACACGTTTTTGTGGAAAAATAATGCTTTATTACGAAAAAAACAAGAAAATCAGTTTCAGACTTTGGTACTTCTTACCATAAAATGCCTGGACTTTTGTACTTTTTGCCATAAAATGCATGGACTTTGGTACTTTTACCACACAAATGCCGTTTCAATCATTTTCTGATTGCCAAACAGTCATTTTTGCTACGCTTGTCACATGACACATACTAGCAGCTGATTGGACAGTCATGGACTTAGGCACTTGTTCTTGATGACGTCAAGGACTTGAGTACTTCTGCAAAGACTTGAGTATTTCTTGCACAAAAATTCAGTAGATTCAGGGAAGGCCGTATATCAGTATTGAGGACTTGAGTACTTATATTTGGAATTTTTTGGCTTTAAATGATGCACATGACACTCTACTTTATGGTAGTACTGTCAGCTCATTTTTTGGAAAATGTGACTTAAGTACTTCTTGCTCCCAGGTCTTCAATTCTTCACTGTGATGGCATTCAGACCACCGTAATAGATGCAAGGCCTAAGGCCCCCATTCCTGTTTTTCCACCTAAAAGAAGCTTGCTCCAGCAGGGGAGGATGAAAGGCAGATAATGCCGGCAGCGAAGGACTCCTAATGTACTCTTCATTGGCTTCAGTCTCAGGTCCAGAGAGAAAAAACCCCTGGGGTGCAACGTTCCTGGCAGCAGATGTATGTTAAATGGACTGCATTTAAATCGCGCTTTTCTGGTCAGATGACACAAAGCATTTTACAATTATGCCTCTCATTTACCCTGATGGCGGAGGCCGCCATGCAAGGCGCCAACCTGCACATCAGGAGCAGTGCAGGGTTCAGTGTCTTACTCAAGGACACTTCGGCATGTTGTCTGGAGCAGCCGGGAATTGAACCAGGAACCTCCTGATTCCTAGACCACCCACTCTACCTCCTGAGCCATGCCGCCCCAGTTGTACGAGCAGTGTGGCAGAAAGGAGGAGGTTGAAGATTTACTGAAGATGTTCTTGGGATCCTAATTCTCAGATGGGAGAGAAGATAGGTCTGCGGTCTCAGTTTGGAACAGTAAGGACTCAGGGCATTAGGCAAACAATGGGCAAAACAGTAAGGCAGTTGAGAGACTCACAGTGGGTAGGCTGTGGGTAATGCGAACGAGAGGAGCCCCGAAGATGGCGAGGGCATCTATAAGGTGCTTAAGTGGCAGATTGGTTAACTTAAGTTGAAAGACGAGTTTAACATTGATGACGTACCCATCAGTTTCAGAGTGATTCAGGGCAGAAACCATCAGCAGGACGTCAGGGGTCAGGATGGTGGCAGGTAGTAGAGAATAGGTGTCAGCTGGCACTGTGGGTGCTCGCCTGTAATCTTCTGGCTGCATGTGAGAATTGGCTTTTCAATGGATAGAACACAAAAACCGAAACAAGGCAGTAACAGACGCAGACAGTCAGAATGCGGAGAAAACTAATTAACAAAGATGGCAGACATGACTCATGAAAATGAAAGGCAAACAGAAGTATGTGGACATTGGAAATAAAGATGAACACAGCACTGAACAACGAAACTAAGTAATACAAGGGAAACTAACATAAAACATGACAAAAATATTACACAGATTACAGATTCATTATAAACAGTTTGACAGGCATCCGAATACAGACTACAATGACATTACACCCATAGGCGCTGATGTCCCGTTCAACTTTATAACTGCCATGAATTCATGCAGGTCATGGCAATGGGAATCCTTCTGACTTCACCATCTTTTTGATTTGACTTGAATGTGGCAAAAGTACAAGTATCTATGAGGAAGATACAGCAGCTTGACGCTATCCATAATGGAGAATGGATCTTGAAGCAGAGGACTGGAGAGTCTTCAAGTAATACTTGTCAAAAAAAACCCACAAATGAGCAATTATCAGAAGACAGTAAACAAACCATAGCGCATGATGCGACACTGACACAGCCAGAGGAAGTGAGGGTAATAGCAGCAAAGGACAGTGCTGTGAAAGAAGTATTTCACCCCTTCCCAATTTCTTCTATCTTTGCATTTTTGTCATGCTTAATTAAAGGAGGAGACAGCACCTCGGCAAAGTATATTTCAGCAGAAAGTAGAATTCTTGAAGTGTCTAAAACATATAGTTTTATCAATTTTAATTTGGTAATGATCCAGTGCGACACATTTTTAAACCGGAAAGTCTTCAAATCGGCGTCAATACCAGGGGGCAGACATTTTTACTTGGGGAATCTGAGGCTGTGTTCGGAATGCACACTTGTCCACTCGCTCACTCACTCTCTATATTGTTTTCAATGTAGAACATTCACTACACAGTGCCCTATATAGTGGGTGAGTGTGCATTTCGAACGCATTATCCAATCAAACGCCAGTGCCGTGGTGCTTGTGCGTAAGTTATTCTCTCACATGACGTCAGTTGTTCTCTAACCTTTCATCTGGGCCATGGAGTAGTTCAAAGGGCCTTCAGTAAGCTCTCCCTTTACGGCTTGGCTGCCTGTAAGCTGTTTTTATTTAAGCTGGCCTGATTAACAATCAAACAATTTATCGACTGAGCGACCAAGATCAATACATGACCTATAATTAGAAATGGTTATGAAATTTGAATTCCCATTGCCTACATTTATATAATTGATATGGCATTGTAAATCCAAAACTTTCCCTGACTTTGCAGCTTTTATTTTCGCCGTCCTTGGGATTGTCACACAGCTGTGCAACCTTACAGCGCCCTTTAGCCGTGACAACATTCAAAATAAAGAACGGATTCCAGCAGCCTCGCAAACTAATTTCCGCAAATCTGTGCTGCTTAACGAGCGCTGAAATTATGAAGACATTGATATTTTACGTCATCATTAATGTGCAGAAGACGCCTCATAATTTTGTGGTGTAATGCATAACAATGCTGTCAAAAGTAAATTAGACTGTCATCGGTTTTTACCAATTAATCTGAGCAACCGTGGCTAATTGGAAGATATAAACTGTGAGAGGTTAAAGTTATTAAGCATTTTTAAAGGTGAGGTTCCTGAAGATAAAATTCAAAATCAGAAGATTCCCCAAGTAAAAATGTCTGCCCCCTGGTTTTGAAGCCGATTTGAAGACTCGCTGGTTTAAAAATGCGTCGCACTGGATCATTACCGAATTAAAATTTATAAAACTATGCGTTTTAGACACTTCAAGTATTCTACTTTCCGCTGAAATATACTTTGCCGAGGTGCTGTCTCCTCCTTTAAAGGCAAAGAAAACACTTTTTTCAACCCAATAAAAGTACACTGCCCCTACCATTCAAACATATTCTTGGGTAATTCTTGAAATTTTTTAATGACTAACTCAGCTTGAGAAGATCCGATTTATACGTTGTTGGTGGTGCGCCATGTTTGTTGGAATCGGGGTAGCTTGCCTCGTCAACCAGACACCGGAACTCTTGAGGTTATAAAAGAAATAAAACAGGGCTACTTGAAAAAAAAGTTTGTCCGATGAATTATTTGTGAATTGGTATAACTACCAACCCCAATTCCAATGAAGTTGGGACGTTGTGTAAAACATGAATGAAAACAGAATACAATGATTTACAAATCTCATAAACCCACATTTTATTCGCAATGGGACATAGACAACATATCAGATGTTGAAAGTGAGGCATTTTACCATTTCATGAAAAATTTTAGCTCATTTTGAATTTATTGGCAGCAACACATCTCAAAAAAGTTGGGACAGGGGCAACAAAAGGCTGGAAAAGTAAGTGGTACAAATAAAAAATAGCTGGAGGAGCAACTAATTAGGTTAATTGGCAACAGGTCAGTACCATGACTGGGTGTAAAAACAGTATTTTAGAAAGGCAGAGTCTCTCAGAAGTACAGATGGGCAGAGGTTCACCAATCCACAAAAACTATGTCTAAAAATTGTGGAACAATGTCAGAAAAATGTTCCTCAATGTAAAATTGCGAAGAATTTGAATATCCCACGATCTGCAGTACATAATATCATCAAAAGATTCAGAGAATCTGGAGAAATCTCTGTATGCAAGGGACAAGGCTGAAGGTCAATATTGGATGCTCGTGATCTTCAGGCCCTAAGGCAGCACTGCATTAAAAACAGGCCTGATTCTGCGCTGGAATACACTGCTTGGGCTCAGGAACACTTCCAGAAATCATTGTCTGTGAACACAGCCCGCCGTGCAATCCACAAATGCAAGTTAAAGCTGTATCATGCAAAGAAGAAGCCATACGTGAACACGATCCAGAAACGCCACCATCTTCTCTGGGCCAAAGCTCATTTAAAATGAACTGAAGCAGAATGGAAAACTGTTCTGTGGTCAGATGAATCAAAATTTAAATTTTCGTTGTGCAGTCTAAAGAGGAGAGGGACCATCCAGTTTGTTATCAGCGCTCAGTTCAAAAGACTGCATCTCTGATGGTATGGGGTTGCATTAGTGCCTATGGCGTGGGCAGCTTACACATCTGGGAAGGCACTATCAATGCTGAAAAGTATATAGAGGTTTCACAACAATGTGTGCTCCCATTCAGACAATGTCTCTTTCAGGTCAAACCTTGCATATTGCAGCAAGACAATGCTAAACCACAAACTGCATCCATCACAACAGCATGGCTTCGCAGTCTGAGTGCTGAACTGGCTTGCCTGCAGTCCAGACCATTCACCAATAGAAAAAATTTGGTGCATCATAAAATGAGAAATCTGGCAAAAAAAGACCCAGGACTGTTGAGCAGCAGAAATCCTACATCAGACAAGAGTGGGACAACATTCCTCACCCAAAACTCCAGCAAGTGTTCTCCTCACTTCCCAGACGTTTACAGACTGTTGTTAAAAGAAACGGGGATGCTATAGAATGGTAAACATGGCCCTGTCCCAACTATTTTGAGATGCAAATCATTGTGTTCTGTTTTTATTCATGTTTTACACAACGTCCCAACTTCACTGGAATTGGGGTTTGTACAATGACAAATTCTAAACTGACATAAGATTTGGAAAGCCTAGCTGTTCTATCTGTAACTGATGTTGTCATTTCTGCGGCCAAGCTAAAGTTGACAGGCGCTTGGGTTCGGGGGCCGGCCGATGACTGAATTCCATTAGCACGACATCATCTTTCAAAATCTGCCAATATTTACTGGGCGATTCAATTCCATACTTTGGGTAAACATGCTCCTTGAGGCAACTGGGTAAAAAGTATGCAGAACATAACCGGTGACTTAGTTGAATCCGATGTTGTGCAACTACTGTCATAACAAGTCAGGCTTCGCCAAGGGACATGTGTAAGCTTATGCCCACAGGGAGGTCTGAGTTTCTCTTTTTGTTGGAGCGATCAACAGCCGCACACAGTGGCATTATGACCGATTTTTGTCGCACAGGTTGATTGATAATATCGGACCTTGTTTTAATTCAGCCACATTGGAGGTTTTTCGGAGCATGAATGGCCTGTTTAAGGTCATGCCACAGCATCGCAATTGAATTTAAGTCCAGATTTTGACTAGCCACTCCAGAACCTTCATTTGTTTTTTTAAGCCATTCAGAGGTGGACTTGCTGGTGTGTTTCCGATCATTGTCCTGCTGCATGACCCACGTGCGCTTGAGCTTGAGGTCACAATCTGATGGTCGGACATTCTTCAGGATTTTCTGGTAGAGAGCAGAATTCATGGCTCCATCAATTACAGCAAGTCGTCCAGGTCCTGAAGCAGCGAAGCAGCCCCAGACCATCACACTACAACCACCATGTTTGACTGTTAGTATTATGTTCTTTTTATTAAATACTATGTTAGTTTTACGCCTGATGTAACGGGATGCATATCTTCCAAAAAGTTCAACTTTTGTCTCATCAGTCCACAGAATATTTTCCCAAAAGTCTTGGGGATCATCAAGATGTTTTTTGGCAAATGTGGGACAAGCCTTTGTGTTCTTTTTGGTCAGCAGTGGTTTCCCCCTTGAAACT